ACACACACACACACGAACAAACTCACACACACACACTCACGCTCAGTCACGCTTACACACACACACAAACTCACGCTCAGTCACGCTTACACACATACACACGCTCACACACACACAATGCAGGCTGGTTAATGGGTGTGTGACAGTCTGACAGAGAAGAGAGAATAGAGGAGGTGTCGCTTTGTCTAATTTAATACTAAATCTGTCTTCAGTAATTATATCAGCTGAATGACTTTTGCTTTACTAATAGCAGTGCAATAATCAAAAAATAATAATATAAAATAAAATATTACATTATAAAATTATATACATACATAACTATATACATAATCTTATATATTAATGTAATATTAATATATTATAATATTATTATTATATTTGCCATAATTAAATAATAATAATAATATTTAAAAAAATAAAATTATAAATTATTTAAATAAAAATTTATATATTAATTTAAAATGAATATATTATATTATTAATATTATACTGCCCATAATTAAATAAAAATTATAATAATTAAAAATTATAATAGATTAATTTGCAATAATGAAATCTGACCGTCTATACAGAAAGTCACATGGTCAGTGACAACAACAACAAAAAAAGTAGTATCTTCTGCTCACCAACACTGCATTTGTTTCATTTTGCATATCAAAAATATAGTAAAAATTGTGAAATATTTTTAAAAATAAAAATAGCTGTTTTCTATGTGAATATCTGTTAAACTGTAATTTATTTCTGTGATCAAATCTGAATTTTCAGCATCATTACTCCAGCCTTCAGTGTCACATGATCTTCAGAAATCATAATAATATGCTGATTTGCTGCTCAAGAAACATTTCTGATTATTATCAAAGTTGAAAACAGTTGTGCTGCCCAATATTTTTGTGGAAACCGTGATACATTTTATTTTTCAGGATTCACAGATGAACAGAAAGTTCAAAAGAACAGCATTTATTTGAAATAGAAACATTATAAATGTCTTTACTGTCTCTTTTGTGAGTGTTGGCGTATATGACGATATATATGCAAATGTATCGATGAGGTCACACTCACGGGTGATGATGTAATCTTGTGTCAGCGTCTCGGCGTGTTTCTCCTTCCTCTTGCTCTTGACCACACACAACATCGCACCTCTGAAGAACAAACAACACAGAAAATAGGATATTAGCTTCTAAAATAAGAGAAAACATGCTTTAAAATAAGCTAAACAACTAAAGACCAAGACATCAGCTGCCACAATGTTTCTTATTTTAATTAATTTCCTAAACAACTGTTGTTTTTTGTTTTTTTAAAAGAAAACTTGAATTCTCACAGTCTTGGAAAACCTGAATATATGAGGGAATTTTAAAAGTGATTTTTAGACCTGGAAAATTCATGGAAATTTAGAAACGTCCTAAAACATCCTGACAATCTTAAAAAACTGAACTGGAAATCTGAATTGTAGAATTATCATTATTATTATTATTATTATATCAATTAATTATATTAGCACTCCTAGTTTTAGTTAAAAACATTTGCATGATCACTATCGTGCAAACATGCTGTATTGAAAAGAAATGCATGAAAATTTATGGAAAAAAAAAAGATTATTATATTTACATGTGTGATTTTCAGATAATGGAAATGAATAAACTTCTTAAAATGTCATGGTAATTTCTATAAATATAAATATTCTAGTCATGACAAGTTCTAAAATATTTTTTCGGGTATAAATTGCTATTTGAGTAAATAATAATAATAATAATAAATATGAACTAAAGGAAAAGATGCTGGAAAACTGAAGAATCTGCAGGAGCTGGAGGATCTTTCTGAAGAACAGAGCTCAGTTTAACTGTTCAGAACAAACAAGAGACTAATGAACAAGCATCACAAAACACACAAACAGTCGTGGATCATCCAGGTGACACACACAGTATGAAGAACCAAGGGGTCACAAACTTTTGAAGGGGGTTATTTTAACAATTTCAGCTATTTTTTTGTCTATATGTAAACATATTTTATGTAAAATATCTTACTCAGGACAGTACTAAATAAAAAAATAACATGCATTTTGTATGATCTCTCTTATTTTGTTAAAATTATTCACATTTTCACAGATTCTGCAAGGGGTTCCCAAACTTTCGCATGCCACTGTATATATAGCGTGAAAGCTTTTCTTGTGCTTGTCAACAGGATGTGACTTTGATGTAAACGTGCAGACAATTGATTCTGCTCTCAGTCGACACTAATGGAGTCGTTTTGTTGAGTTTCCTCGCTTCAGTCGGTCAGTTCAATCAGTCCAAACCCGGCTGAAATCGTTACTGAACAAACACAGACGGAAAAACAGGGAAGAGTGTGAAGCGGGACCGAGACAGACAGCAAAGCAACTGCACCTCTGACTCTTGACCGGGTCGTAGTAGACCTTCGCCAGGCCGTTCCCCGTCCCAACCATGATCTGATTCAGCTTGGGATGCCAAAGACAGCGGACGACGCCCTGAAACAACAGCAGATGAGAACTCATTATTTGAGCATAAAGCCATGGCAGAGGAAAAGACTGCGTCTAATATCTCTCTCCGTCCGGCTCATCTCCAGTTGACTATATTTGGATCTGGATCTCAAAGACTCGCTGTGACGAATGGGCCGCTGCCAGGGCCGTGTGTGAGGATTTGTGTGTGTGTGTGTGTGAGGCGGAGGAACAGACTCCTGAATAACTGCAATCACATGCATGCAGCGCACGTCTATATAATGACGGTTTATAGTGAGCACGTCCAGAAAGGACAAAAGAGCACCATTAAAGTCAGAAAAACACCAAAAAGGCCTGTTACATTCTTACAAGCTTGTGACTGGTGAAAGTCCAACCCAACAATAAATACAGCAGATTAATATAATATCATTTAAAACAGTAGTAGTAGTAGTGCTAGTAATAATTATTATTATATACTTTTTATTATTATTATTATTGTTGTATATTTGCCTTAATGACATATTATCATTATTATTCAAAAGTTCTATGTAAGATATAATCTAAAAATATAATAAATATAAAAAATAAAATCAATAAGTAGAATAAAAGTGATAATATATTTGTTTGCAATTATGAAACATTAATGAAACATAATATTTATCATAATAACAATTATTTAATAATTTATAAAAAAAATAAAATAAATGAACGTTTGGATCAAATGAGGGTAAGTGAATAATGAAGCTGTAAAGGAAAAGACATGATCACTGTTATGCAAACATGCTGTAATGAAACGTAAGAAAATACCACAAAGTTAAATAAATGAAATAAAAAAAATAAAATAAATATAGGTTTGGATCAAAATGGGAAAAGTAGAAGACATCATCACTGTCATGCAAATAAAGCACTGACAATAAAAGTGTATGAAAATACCACAAAATAAAACAAATAAAAAATGTTTAAAAAATAAACAAAAAAAAGATATATTATTTATATAAAAATTATATATATTTAATTATATAAAATAAAATAAATGTTTGGATCAAAACAAGGGGAAAATATGTCACCACTGTCATGCAAATATGCTGCATTGAAATGAATGAAAATACCACAAAAATAAGTAAAATAAAATAATAAAATAAACATCATTAACATACAGCATTAAAATTCATGAAAATGCCACAAAAATAGATAAAATAAAATAAAAATAATATTATTATTATTGTTGTATATTTGCCTTAATGACATATTATCATTATTATTCAAAAGTTCTATGTAAGATATAATCTAAAAATATAATAAATATAAAAAATAAAATCAATAAGTAGAATAAAAGTGATAATATATTTGTTTGCGATTATGAAACATTAATGAAACATAATATTTATCATAATAACAATTATTTAATAATTTATAAAAAATAAAAAATAAATGAACGTTTGGATCAAATGAGGGTAAGTGAATAATGAAGCTGTAAAGGAAAAGACATGATCACTGTTATGCAAACATGCTGTAATGAAACGTAAGAAAATACCACAAAGTTAAATAAATGAAATAAAAAAAATAAAATAAATATAGGTTTGGATCAAAATGGGAAAAGTAGAAGACATCATCACTGTCATGCAAATAAAGCACTGACAATAAAAGTGTATGAAAATACCACAAAATAAAACAAATAAAAAATGTTTAAAAAATAAACAAAAAAAAGATATATTATTTATATAAAAATTATATATATTTAATTATATAAAATAAAATAAATGTTTGGATCAAAACAAGGGGAAAATATGTCACCACTGTCATGCAAATATGCTGCATTGAAATGAATGAAAATACCACAAAAATAAGTAAAATAAAATAATAAAATAAACATCATTGTCATACAAACATGCTGCATTAAAATTCATGAAAATGCCACAAAAATAGATAAAATAAAATAAAAATAAATAAAATAAACATTGTCATGCAAACATGCTGCACTGAAATGCATGGAAATAGCACAAAAATAAATAAAATATAAATAATTGAAATGCATGAAAATACTACAAAAAAAAAATAAAATAAAATAAAATAAAATAATAAAATAAAATAAAATAAACATCATTGTCATGCAAACATGCTGCATATAAAATAAAATAAAATAATTAGGTCAGGATGAAAATGAGCGCAAGTAAATAATGACGCTGTATAGGAAAACCAAAAGAATAAGCAGCAGGTATTGGGAGTCCAAATGCACTTTAAGAATGATCTCTTGAGATGAGTTAACAGCACAAGAGGAGCATAATAAATCATGCTATGTCCAAGAAACTCTTTCCAAACAGATCTTGCGGTGTATGCAGTGTTGAGATCAGGAAAGACCTGCGGAGGCATGGGGGTGAAATCTGCTTAGCCTCCAGCTGTTCAGCGCCGGGCTCGTTTCTGCCTGAATCCTCCAGCCGGACTGCGTTAAGCCTGCCTGACCTAGAATCCGGCTTTAGACCCTCTCCCTCCCCCAGGGCCGTAGCAGGGGTTTCTCTGGCCCTTATTGACTTAACGGGATGTACGGGGTTAATCCGTCTCTATGGGCATGTGGCCGAGTAATTGATTATTTAGAGAAGATCTGGAAGATTTGGCTGCGGATCTGAAATGCGCTTCCAGCTGAGCCTTTTTTGGCCGAATACAAACGTAATCTCCTTTAGTCGCTCCATTACCTTGCAGATACTGTATCATGGGGTTTAGATCGTGCACATCTGTATATCTGACCTCTCCATTACTCTTAATCAAGCCACACAGAGACCCTGGGTAAGGAAAGCAAACATCAGGACAAGCAACACATGAGAACTGTCGAAAATAGCGATATATGCATGCATCTACAGCTGTTCATCATGTGCCAGAGAAACAAACACTCACAATGCACAGTATTTATGTGCAGCTCAAATGTTTCTACAAGCACTAGGAGGAATGATAATAATGGCGATGTGAGTGAATCAGATCTTTCTTGAGCACATTCACTGCGGTTTTGGCAAAGACTGAAGTGACATTTCAGCATCATATTCAATCTTCCATCTTTTCTAAACAAAATAAGCTGTTTACTGACTGGATGAGTGTGTGCCAAACTCGGCCCAACATGGCACCCATTCACCCATGAATGCTTTCACGTCACACAATAAAAAAATATAAACAAACAAATAAATAAAAAAGTAGCAATAATAATAATAATAATATGAAAGACTATTTTTACTTAATAATGGAATTATATTTATATACATATGTATACAGTATACACACATATAAAATATACATAAAATTATGATATATAATTATATACTATATCTATGAAATAATTCACTTTTAAATTTAAATGTAATATATAAACAAAGTATATACCATGCAAGATACATAAAATAATTCATTTAAGAATTACTATATATTAATTTGCAATAAATAATAATAATAACAAATCAATATTAATTTAAATGAAGAAAAATAAAATAGATATAATAATAATAACAGTAATAACAACTAGATAAAAAAGTTCGTCAAGACAAACTTTAAGTTGGCTT